GCACAGCGCCTGTCTGGCAAGCCCCAGGTTGTGAGTTTGATTCCTGGTGTCCAAAAAAAAAAAAAAAAAAAAGTAGAAACGTGAGTATGAAAGGGGTCTTTTACTTTTGATGCAAAACAAGACTGAAAAACAAAAGGATGGAGAAGGGAAAAAGAAGAGTTGCAAAGAGAGGTCAGCAAGGGACCAAGGGGAAGGAAAAGAAGAGAATACTAATCACCTTTGCTCCAAGTAACAGAATCAGCTTTCAAAATGATGATGAAATGCACAACACAATGAGCAAAAGTGCCAGCTGTGGTGGCGCACACCTGTGACCCCAGCACTTGGGAGGCTGAGGCAGGAGGATTGTTGCAAGTTCGAGACCAGCCTGGGGTACAAAGTGAGCTCAAGGCCACCCTGAACTAAATATTGAGACCCTGTTTCAAAAGGACCAAAAAAAAAAGAAAAAAAGCAAAAGTTTCACTATGGTCAAACACTTAGTCTAAGGTTTTAAAGACGAATAGTTAACAAATGAAGCAATCTCTCACTGCTGACTATAAATATGCTTGCTTGTTTCGGCAGCACTACACTTTTGACTATAAAAATAGTATCCTAAAAATAGTATGGACACATGCAGTCAGCTGACAAAACTGTTTCAAAATATGTCAAAATACACCTAAGATGAAAACACTCAAAACAAAATACCAATCCTAAAAACATGCTATATTAAATGGCTCTTTAATGTGCAGTAGTTTTGGAAATAAAATGTTTGTAAAAAGAAGTAATTTTATCTCCTAACTGTAGAAGTTTAAAACACTGTTATATTAGTGTGCTAGACAGAATGTTATGTAGGAAAGTAAGTAAATAAATTTTAAAAACTAAAAGTTTGAAAACTATTTCCTCTTAGAAGTTCAGGGAACAGAGAATCGCTCTGACGGAGGAACAAAGGCAAGTATTGCTGTCAGACCCGCCAACTGGTTTTTCTGACATTTCTGCCTAAGAACCAAGACTACCGGATTCCTCAATTCACAGGTGGAATGAGTGACATCCAAGCACCACAAAACTGGACAATCTTTCAAAGCTGAATTTTTGTAATTATATATAGAGTAAATGGAAATAAAGTAGCTAGTATTCCTTTCAAAAGGAAACATAAAAATATATATAACAACTGCAAGATGATTGAAGAACACCAGGAGCAATAAAGAATTACAGTTCTGAAAACTGATTTCAGTACCCTTGTTGGGGGCAGTGCTGGGGACCAAACCCAGGACTTGCAAGTATAGGCATGCACTCCACTGCCGAGCTATATCCCCTGTCCCAGGGATAAAAGTGTTATGACTAGCCGGGCGTGGGCCTGTAATCCCAGCACTCGGGAGGCTGAGGCAGGAGGATCGTGGTGAGTTTGAGAACAGCCTGTGCCACAAAGTGAGCTCAAGACCAGCCTGAACTGCATAGTGAGACCCTGTCTCAAAAAGACAGAAAAAAAAAAAAAAGTGTCAAAAAAAGTGTCATGACTGTGAAGAACTTCACTGACTTTTAGTGACCAAAACCAGTTATATAGTCTGCAATTCAAAGAAGAGTCCTACATAACAAAAAAGTGTTGTAATGCTTCTGAACGTCCCACTGGACAGTTTAAAAAGTTAAAAAACAAAAATCTGAGCCTAAAAGTTAACTGTTTTAAACATATTTTCTGTATAGTTTTAACAGACCAAATCTTCTAAGTACACTACTGACATAAGCTAAGATTATACTTTGTTTTGCTGAGAATATTACCACAATTATTATTTCTGAAAAATCAGTCTACCAATGAAAATTCAAACTGCTATACTTCACTTGCCAATAAAATCCCTGTGCACATGTATTTGCTGTATGTGAATATGTAGTGAATAACTACAACTGAGAAGTGTCTTAATAGTTTTAGGACTAAAGATTGTTAAATTGGCAATTGGCAAAAACACAAACATGAGGATGTCGTAGAATTTTGTTAATTATTAAAATATTTCATATCACTGCCATTCTTTGTTGCCAAGGGAGAAAAGCATTTTATGCTGTAAAAATTATTTGTAAATATTATTTACTTGGGCATTACTTGCTTATTTTCAATCTTACCAATTCTTACCCCAGAAATCTACTGCATAAATGTTCTGACTTCATATATTATTTCTTTTCCCTTTTGCCTCTATTACTTCTACAAGTACTAAGTCTAGGCTATTTTGTTTTTGTTTTTCTGAAACAGAGTCTTGCTACGCAGTGCAGGCTGGCCATGGACTCTTGGCGATCCTGCTGCCTCAGCTTCCCGCGGTGTAGAATTACAGGTAAGCACCACCACAGCCAGCTGAAATATACTGTTTTATGATAAATTACTTTCCTATTATTTCACTTTTAAGGTTAAGGTGTTTTAAATATTTATTTTGGTCACCCAGTGTAGCCAATGAGTACAAGTAGGTTATATTGCTATTATTATTATAATTACTTGATGGAGACTGAACAAAGGGACTTACATATGCTAAACATGCACTCTACACTGAGCTATACCCCTCAACCAGTTATATGATTTGTAAATTTTATAATAATTACAAAACACAGAGAGGAGTGCTGACTCCGAGCCCTTGGTTTGGGACACCTGAGCAAGCGACGCGGCCAGTGTGGTAACAAGCCAGAGGCCGGAACACACTGGCACTCACAGAGGAGTGTTCGGGCTGACAGCGGGTCGACTGACGAGGACAGCCACAGACGCTCACCACTGACCACACGGGACTGCAGGGCAAGCGGCTGCCTCTGCAGAGGGACACCTGGCCACTCAGCAGATCAAGGCTGGAAGCTGCAGGAAAGGGACCCACGCTGGGCCCGGGGGCAGGCCTGTCACTCAGCACTGTGGCAGGCGGAGGCAAGGAGACTGCAAGCTCACCCAGCCCACGCAACTAAGCAAGGCCCTGTCTCAAAATTAGAAAATAAAGTATGGGCTGAGGGTTAACTCAGTGAGAAGGTCCAGTTTAGGGGTGAAAAGAAAAGGTGAAAAACAAGCAATTGTCTTCCTTCACCCTCCATTCACCAAGGACTTTCAGAGGCTGTTCCCCTACAAAAGCCGGGAAGTTTTCAGATAATGGATTTGAACAGAATCCAAAGGCCTCTCAAATCGATGAAATGTTGACGGCAGTTACAAATCCCTGGAAGCCAGGTGTGGCGGCTCATGCCTGTAATCCCAGCACTCGGGAGGCTGAGGCAGGAGGATCACTGTGACATCAAGGCCAGTCTGGGCTACAAAATGAGTTTAAGGCCAGCCTGAACTACACACTGAGACTCCTCTCAAAAGAGACAACTAAATGCATTCATTCATTCACTCCTTCACATATTTAAAGACAGCTCAAAAAATAACTTAAGACAGCTCAGTCAAGTCCAGTAATCCCTGCCACGCTACCTACAGTGGAACTCTGAGTTCCCAGAACCACAAGAACACTATGAAAATGTATCTGCACACTCAACCATTCATTTGGTCTCACCATGAATCGTTACTACTGTACGGCTAAACGGAGCCTCGTTTTAAGACACGACACTGCCAGGAAGTGAACCACGCCCAACCACTTCTACTTTCGAGCCCTGTCCAAAGACCAGCTAAGGCCAAGTTCAGGAACAGTTATAGTGATTTTGCTAACCTTTCCATTTGTATCATGCTATTTTTTCACCACTTCTCTAAGACCTGATAACCTCTTAAACTAGGCCACCTGTAACCACTTTTGAAAACTTCACGGGAAGGAGCACAGACCGCTGATCCATGTGAGGCTCGTCACGGATCAGCCCCACCCCCATCATGAACTGGGGAGGCCACAGCCGACAGTGAAGCACTGTCAGTGTGTGGAAGATTAATTTACAGAAGAAAATAACACAAGCATCACAAAGGACATTCTTCAGGACACAGCATATAATCATATAGCGAATGACTCTAAAAAAATGAGAGGAGACAGCTATCAAAAAGTGAAAATTACTCAGGCATGGTGGCACACACCTCTAATTCCAGCACTCAGGAGCCTGAGGCAGGAGGATCACCCTGAGTTGAGGCCAGCCTAGGCAATAAAGTGAGTTCCAGGACAGCCTGAACTGAAAATAAATTGATTAAACATATTTATGTGATTAAATATATTTAAGTGCATTTTAGGTCAAATATGCTTAGACTGAGCTAATTAAGATCTGGTATACAAGCGGGGCGTGGTGGCGCACGCCTGTAATCCCAGCACTCAGGAGGTTGAGGCAGGAGGATCACTGTGAGTTCGAGACTAGCCTGGGCTACAAAGTGAGCTCAAGGCCAGCCTGAACTGCACAGCAACACCCTGTCTCAAAAAGACCAAAAAAAAAAATCTGGTATACAAATGGACAAAGCCACTGTTAACAGAGGGCAATGTCTGAAATCACTATACTATTAACTTAAAAAGGAAGATAATTACACTGCACTGTACATTCAAAATACAACATAAACCTTACAAAAATTAGGTCTTGGAGGCTCAGGATATATGTGAAAGAAGCCACTAATCAGTAGGCGTTTACAGATCTAAATGCATCCAGCCCTGACCTAAACCAAGCGCTGGGCAGCGGACTGTCCCCACCCTGTGCTCCAGGCTTGTCAGTCATGAGACGGGTACTCCCTAGCTGGGCGTGAGCTGTGCATCCCCTGGGCTGGGCGTCCTGGCGCACACAAGGCCCTCCTCCTGATGCCCTCTACTTGAGAAATTAAAATACACCTGGACGTATTATGAAGAATGCCAAGTTATTTGTAATGACAAAAGTCAGACCTTAAGAAAAATCTCTTGCTTTCTTCGGTCAGTGTGGTGTCCACAGCTGTTCACCTTTGTCGGAAGGCCTTGAGGTAATTTCCAGAGGGCAATGAACTTACAGTCGTTACACGGACATGATCACAGTAAAATGTGCGTCTGCCTGCCCACTTCAAACAATCCAATATTCTTCAGTCAAGATCAGCCCCCTGAAAGCCCCAAGTAAACCGAAGAGAGGAGTACTTTACGAGAAACACTTACTTGGGAAACCAATTTAGTCCCAGGTGCTCTGTCTTGGAATAGAGTATTCTTTCCACCATGTCATAAAGTGGTCTCCAAGGTAACTCCAAGTCATCTCTTGAAAGAAGTTCCTTTTTCCTGATTTAAAAAAAGGGTCGTGTATGTGTGAAACACACCGTCCACGGAGGACCGTTAGCCGCAGTGGGACTTGCTCCTCCCCACGCACAGCCACTCGGGCGGGACGGGGGGTTACCAGGAGCAAGGCCTCGGGCTCGTGCGGTTCTCACACCAAGCAGCACTGGCCGGCGGGGCGCTCGCGCCTGTGCCGCCATGACTGCCCATGAGGCTCACTACGGACCCTGGAAGGAGTATTAGTATTTCTAAGATTGTGCTTGACTCTCTGGAAAAGCAAAAGAATACATGATTCCTATCTTCTCAAGGAAGTTATAATCTATATTGGAGAAACAATTAGCATAAGTGAAAAAAGTCAAACACACAGTGGAATACTATAAAAGAGAAGGCTTCCTGGAAGACACGAGTTTTTAATCAAAAGGTAAATTAAATGCACAGTTAAGCTTATAACAGTGCTTTCTGCGATCTTTCCACAATTTGATTTTCATTCTCTAAGACCCTGAAGAAACACCTCAGCAGAAACCATAAGAAATGGACTTACTTTAACAAGTTGATCAGGAGACGGGCAAACCCCTGCATCATGCTGATTTCCAGCTTTGGAATTGACACCAACTCATACAGTAACTTAATGAAAAGAACATGATCTTCTTTGCTAAATTTTCTCCCATAAAGTCGAATATATCTGCAAGGAAAAAAACCAGATAAACCTTTTAAGAATTGGTGACATACTCGTATTCCTTTCTGCAGCAAGGTATAGAACCTACTTCACGTCCATGGAGAGAAGAAGGCATAACAAAATGTGGTATACGTAACACACTGGACTACCCAGCATTAAATATATGAAAATCCTGTCCTTTGCTACAGCACAGGTAAACCTTGAAGGAAATACGCCAACTGTGCATGTGCACCCACACACCAGCATGTTCCGTTTATGCACGACGTGAAATGATCAAACTCAGAAACTCAGAAAAGCAGAACAGCAGGCCAGGTGTGGCAGTACAGGCCCGTAATCCAGGCACTCAGGAGGCTGAGGAAGGAGGATCACCATGAGTTCCAGGCCAAGTAGGGTTACACAGTGAGTTCAAAGCCAACCCGAACTACACAATGAAACCCTGTCTCAAAAAAAAAAAAAGCAGAATGGTGGTTGCCAAAAGTTGGACAGAGGGAAAAATAGGGAGTTGCTGTTTATTATTCAACTGGTATAAACTCAGTCATGCAAAACGAGAGCGTTCCAGAGACCTCTTTACACAGCAAGCAGTTAACAACGCGTACCATCCCGTGCACTTTGAGCTTAAGAGAGGGCTGGGGATGTAGCTCAGTGGTACAAGCGCCTGCCTGGCAAGCACAAGGTCCTGAGTTCAATTCCCAGTACAAAAAAAAACCCAAACAAACCTTAAGAGAGTACACTTATATTATGCTTTTTCTAAGCATACACATATAATAATACGTGTGGTGACATCTTAATTTCAAATATTTCTGGTATTAAGTATTTTGTATCTATTCTTATCACAAAGAACTATACTATACTTTAGTCAAGATATTAACAAGTAAGTATTTTAATAACAAATGTCTTTTTTTACCCTGGTAATGCAGATTATATATATATATATATATATACACAAAGGGTCTTGCTAAATTGCTGAGGCTGGCCCCAAACTTGTGATTTTCCTGCCTCAGCCTCCTGAGTAGCTGCAATTACAGGTGTACACCACCACACTTGGCTTAAACATAGCATGTTTAAGGAGTCTGAAGTAACTACAGCAAAATTACTGGATACCTACAATAATAAATCATTTGAGAAGGGTCATTTTATAGACAAAAACGTAAGTTAACAGAAAGGGGAGCATTACTATTCCTTTTATAATCTGTAGCATTCCAACAGCTATAATCAAATTAAATTTGTGCTGAACTTATAAAGTTAGGATACATGAGAAATTTTCAAAGTTCTCGGTCCAGTAAGAGCATTTAAAAAAATTTTCTCAGGCTGTTCTGAACGTAATCAGCTCCTCGCTGTCATTTTAGGGTATGAGCTCGTGACTTCAGACTAGATCTATGAGACTAGGCAGTACAGGCTGACACCAATGAGCCCTTAGATCCCATTTTAGCTCTTCCTGGATCACTGTGTAAGTTTCCTAAGTGTCCCAGACTAGAAGCAAATGAACCAGTAAGGGTATATGAAGACCCTAAACTGCAGAACACAAGGTAATTTGGAGAAGGTGAATAAACCAGGCAGAAGCTTTCTGAAGCCTCCCTTCAATTCACTCCAAGTTTAAGAGGAAAAGCTAGAAGCATCTGAATGTCCTTTTGAAGGAAAGCAAATTATCCTTAAGAAACCGGCACCCATTCTTAAGCTAAAGGCAAAACAGGAGAGTTAGAAACATTAATCTCTCCTTCTGGTGGCTCTTCAGGCCCTGCCAACACTCCAGACACCTCTACAGTTACGCACACTCTCCCTGTCATTAGAACACCTGGGAACAGCTGAAAGAAGGGGCACTACGCCACTGAACCACTTCGCTACAGCCCACTGCTTCTCCTGAAGGAGAGCCTACGGCCATGCCACCCCGAACGCACCGGGCCTCGTCCGAAGGAGAAAGACAACTGTTTTTTTTTTTTTTTTTTTTCTCCGGTACCAGGA